TCACCTCTTGCCGCCCCCCCGCCCCTCAGGTTTCATATAGTATTTGATTGACGTGCAAAAATGGAATTTGGATTTTCCTTTTCACTAATATGTATAGGTCTGTAAATAGTGTAGTACTATTTTGTAATAAACTGAAAACTTGCAGTGAGTTTATTGCTGAAGTCTTCCAGATTATAAACAGATTGTATTTGTGGATTAAAACACGCCCTTTGCCTCTACAGAGGTTTGTGGGAACTTAGGTGAGATGTTAGGGGAGACGCAGCTCTCCGAAGGTAGCCAGAGCCTGCGGGGGAAGTGTTTCTGTTATTTTCCTGTTTGCATCGGAAGACTGAATGGGAGTTGCAATTTACTCTGGTGACACGTTAGCTACCATCCACGCCTCCAGTCAGTCGTCTCGCTCTCTGTAAATACTGCCCGAGCGTCATCTGACCCTGGTGGGGGCACATCCATAAACATATTGTTAGCTGTGGAACTGGTGTGAGTTTATGTATGGGAAATGCTGTTATAGAAATAAGCCACGGTTTTACTGTTAGAATACAGAATGTCTGAGATCCTCCAATGTGTACCTAGTTAGAAAGACTAAAGCTCATCTCTTAAGTCCTTTATTCGGAAAGATAGTCCACTACCTACTTTTTTTTTTTTTTTTTTAGATATAATGTATAAACTAATATGCATTTTGAGAATTGTTTTGTGTTCTTTACTAATGTGAAGGATTCATGTATTACTGGTAGAAAAGGTTAGGCCATAGTTATAATTAAGAGTCTCTAGATGGGACACCATTTCTGGTAGATATTTTTTCCTAAAAACCACTAAATTGGTAGTGTTATTACAATTTTTTTGGTAATGGGTTTGGCACATGAATTTTATTAAAAAAATTTTTTAATGTTTATTTTGAGAGAGAGAGAGGAAGAGAGAGAGAGAGGAGGGGCAGAGAGAGAGGGAGACACAACATCTGAAGCTGGCTCTAGGCTCTGAGCCCGATGCGGGACTCAGATTCACAAACCGTGAGATCATGACCTGAGCCGAAGTCAGATGCTTAACCGGCTCAGTCACCCAGGAGTCTCTGGCATGTGAATTTTTTGTGTTCTAGATGTTCTAGTGCCAACATTTGAAGACATTACAGTGTTCTCAGTTTTACTTATGTCCTTCAAATTTTACTATGTTGTATCTAGAAAAAGTCCAATCCTTTTGGAACATCTCAAGTTCAGTTAAACTTTCAGATTTGAGTATTCTGTTAAATAAATGAATCAGACTATGTTAAATGAAAGTGTAAAGATCTCATGTATTTGTTAGAACATATATTCGATTTGCATTAGTACAAATTTATGGATTTGGAGATCTGGTCTTCATTACAATGCTCCTTTGTATTTCTCTCTAAGTGAACACAAATACACATGTTCTGATCTGCATTACAGGGGGAAAGCATTAAGTCATTTTCCTAAAGTTAATGGTGGCTTACTTAAGATCTTTGGAAAGGCCCAAACAAATACCTTTCAGTTATAGGACAGTTGATTTATTCATTAAAGACAAGGATTTTTTAAAAATTATTTGGGTTTTGCCTTTTTTGGCATTTTGAGAAAAACTGTCTTCTGTAGCATGAAGTTATAGCTTTTAATAGTGACCAATTTAGTAAAACAAGAACCATCATACTGATATAAAAAGGGTCATAGGCACATATTTTCTCTATCTTTCTGGGCAAGTTTCTCTTCTAGTCCTGAGATTTTGGGGGTTCATATTCAAAGTTGTTAGGTAGAAAAGTTGGCAAAGCATTTATGTTTTTTGTATAGTTCTCTTAGTAAATGTATTTTGAGGACTGTAATAAGTGATGGAGATACATTTAAAATTCAGAAGAAATATTCACAGAAATAGGGAATACCAGGAGAACGCTTCAAAGGGAAGACTTTATTAAGGAGAAAGTATTTAAAGTTACAGATTATAAGTAGAAGGGTATTTGTTTAGTATCATCAATTTATGTGGCTGTTGAAATACACCCCTAAACACATAAATAAAAGAAATATTGAGCTATTTTACATTTATTTTGGACTAAGTCTTTGAAATCCCATGTGAGTTTTATCCTCACTGTGCAGCTCAGTTTGGACTAGCTGCATTTTAAACGCTCAGAATTCACATGTGGCTTGTGACGACCATCTTGGCTACCTTGAGGCTGTAGATTGTCCTGTCTCATCTTGCCATTTCTCAGGGAGTGTTTCTCCGATTCCATAGGTCTGTCTGTTTCCTTTCGTCCTTAGCCTTATGGAATCATATTCCTTTCCTTTAGAGCATTTATCATAGCTGTAAATCTGTATTAGTGAGATTCTTTGATTCTTGTCTCTTCCACTAGATGTAGGCATGAGTGTTTCCCAATCTGTTTCCAATCTTTACACACAACTGGGGCTCTATAAATAGTATTTCACTTAATGAATTGTGCTTATTAGTAGTATAAGGAAATTTGGCCATAATCACACACCTGATTTTAGAATCAGGCACTAAATTATTTCTAATTAATTTTGCTGGGATGAGGATGTATAAACTGTCACTAATCTGAGAAATGGTCTTAATTGTGAGTTATTTACTTATAATGGTAGTGTCCTAAGTAATAGTTCTGTAAGCTTTCATGTAGTTATGATAAGTAGGAAGCTTTTTAAACTGTAAGCATATTTTTGAGTTGATTTAATAGACTTGATAAAGAGGTTTAATAATTTAGTTTTTAAAATACAAATTCCCTAAAAATAAGACTGGCTTAAATTACTATAAAATTATTTAATATGAATTTTTATAAGAATAAAGATTTCTAGATAGACTTCATTGAAAATAGTCTAACTTTTTCTTGTTAAAGAATGCTTACTCTGAGTTTAGTAGAGTGATTAAACCACATGATCCATAGTATCTTATACTTAAAAGCCAAGAAACTATATTTTGGCCATATTTTAGGCAATCATAGGTTGTACCATAATCTTGAGTTCAAAAGGAATTTAAGCTTGACCCTAACCTAGGTAAGTTTACCCTTTTGTGTCCACCATGCTAGTAGGAAGAATGAGATACTGTTAGAGTTAATAAGATTTCATTACTAAAACTAATATTTGAACTGTGTCTTGAAGAGATGGTAGGCATTTATCAAAGGAAGAAGAGAGGAAGCGTATTTCAGTCAGAGGAGCAGCATATACACAGATACAGGATTTCCAAACACTTTGTACTAGTTCCTCTAAGCAACTAGAAGCACACACAGTTGACCCTTGAACAACATGGGTTTAAACTGTGCCGGGCCACTTAAATGCGGATTGTTGTATGGTACTATACATGTGTTTTCTCTTCCTTATTTTCTTAATATTTTCTTTTTCTCTAGCTTACTTTATTGTAAGAATACAGTATGAAATACATGTAACATAAGAAATGTTAGCCATCTGTTGATGTTGTCATTGTGAGGCCTCTGGTCAACAGTAGTTGATTAGTAGTTAAGTTTGGGGGGGTCATAAGTTATACTTGGATGTCTGACAGCAGAGAGGGGTCAGCATCTCTCCTGTTCAAGGGTCAACTGTAATTCAGTTTGGTTATAACATAGTGGGGGCGGGGGGAGAGCAGTGGGGGCAGGCCCAGGAAATGAATCTGGCAGGACAGCTTGATGGGAGAGTTCTCAAGAGCCCCGTGTGGTGCTCTAAGGAGCTTCACCCTGTCCTCTGCAGTACGGAGCAAATGAGGGGAGAGAGACCTGGAAGGTGGGAGCAGCCAGGAGGCAGTTACAGTGAAAGCAGTAATGAGGCACAGACTACCCTCAGGAGGGGGTATGGAGAAGAGAGTGTACACTGATAACTTATCCCACCCCAATCCCTCAGCCCTTCCCACCCTACTCCTAACCCTCCACTAAGAGACAGGGGACTAAAGATAGAGCATAATTCCGGTAAACTCTTCTTTAAATATTAGTAAATATAGCGTGTCTGTTTTTTAGTGAATTTTAATGAAAAGTTGTTATGTAATAAATCTATTAATTACCAAAGGACAGGATATGTTTTACAAAGTAGAAATGATTATGATTCAATCACTGTCATTTTTCACTGCATGCTGAAACTTTTAACATGAATTATTCCATCCTCAAATAATAGCCTGATTTTTTCGTGTGGTCATATCAACGTTAATCAACTTAAAAGCAAAAATATATTCCATGAATTAGTTTTTTAAAAGAGTATATGTTTTATTAGTGCATTGGGGTTTTAATTAATGTTCTATGTTAGAAACTATTTGCAAATTTGTTAAAACTTCAGGAATAAAGTAGAAGTCTAAATAGGATAGTTTGTAAAAGCATAACTCTACCTACCATGAGCCAACACTGTAACCAGGAGCGAGCAGCCTGGATAAATGCCTTTGCTTTGAAACCGTCTCTCCCTCTATTGCATAGGGTGATCACAGGGGCCAAAGCACCAGTCACATCTCAGAGTCCTGTAACGCAGCTCTGCTAAAATCTGTTAGGAAGATCTCCCTAATCGTAGTGGTTGCTGAAGTGTGTGGTTGGGACACTGGTGTCCTTTCCTGACAAAGCTTTGCCACTGTTAGCCACAGCAGAAATGTCAGACAGAGAAGGCTACTGCACGGCTCCTTCCCTTTGCCGAGGGCCCATTAGGTGTTTGTTTTTGTTTTTGTTTTTTTGGAAAGGGCAGTGGAAGGTGAACCTTTTCTTGTTTGTGGGACCCTTGTGATTCTCATCCTTAGTATATATCATTTGTGGGGCATCACAAGGTTGGTATCGAGAGGAGCTTTTCCTTATATTCATTTTTTTAAGCCCTAAGTGAAGTTTCAGTATGGCAAAAAAAAATTGGTTGTTTTAAAAACATGTGAAATTATATCATTGGTAATAAAACAATGTATTGGAGCAGTTAAACCAAATCTCATAGTGATATTTTGTCCTTAATTTTGGTAACTTCACTATTTCAAAGAACTGGATTGTATTAAAATTTTCAGGTCTAACCTTTTGTTTAAATGAATTAAAATATATTTGTGTTTTCATGCAGATTTGAGTTCTGTGAACCTGCATTTGTGGTTGGTAATTGCCTCCAGATAGCATCTGACAGTCATCAGTATGATCGAATTTACTGTGGAGCTGGTGTCCAGAAGGACCATGAAAACTACATGAAAATACTACTGAAGGTCGGAGGCATTCTGGTCATGCCTATAGAGGATCAGGTAACTTCCAGTGTTCTTTGCTTAAACACGTTAGTTTAAGGTGGGAAATGTTGTATCAGTGAAAAGTAGGTTGTAATTTTTAAAGAAGGAGTACTCTTCACAGATCTAGCTATAAAAAAACAAAACAAAACAAAAACCCTTGAAACAGACTCTTGAGCAAAGCAGAGAAGAGATCCTTATACTAGGCTTTGAAGAGATTTTTGCATTTCAGCAGAGCTTAACCTGTGTGGCGTGTGCCAGGTTGCTTCCCCCACAGGCTTCTTACCTGTAGCTGTTCCGTTGAGTGTGGTGGTCTCTACGTGCTGCTCAGTCCCCAACATTCCTTAGTTCTCTGAACATATGAAAAATAAATTCTATTTGGGATTCGGTTTGGACTGCTTAAATCCGTTAAAGAAACGAGTAAATGTTTAAATCTTCCTTTAGTATGACACAGACTCATTTGAGATATTTTTTCAATCATTTGCCTGCTTTCCGTTTGGAATTATTAGATATAGTAAATGTATAAACTACTAATATATTCAGAAAATGGGTGGGTCTTTCAAAAGGAAATTACTTTAAAAATTTAGAAAACTGGGGGCACCTGGGTGGCTCAGTCAGGTAAGTGTCTGACTCAATTTCAGCTCAGGCCTTCATCTCACAGTTATGAGATCGGGCCCCATGGGGCCTGCTTGAGGTTCTCTCTCTCCCCTCCCTCCTCCTCCCTCTGCCCCATCCCTGCTTGTGCTTACTTACGTATGCTGTCTGGATTGCTCTCTTAAAAAGTTTTTTTTAAATAAAAATGCATTTCAAAAAAGAATCTTTAATATTCATATTAACTTAAGTTTGAGATGTTTAAAATGCCTTGTGGTTTATATGGTAGAAAATAAATTATGTAAGACAACTGGGACCTTGCCTCATCATTTTGGAGTTTATAATCTCGGGGGGGGGGCCCTTCACATCACAGCATGTTATTTGTAACTCAGTAGATTTCACCATCACCATGCACTGTGCTCTGTAGCAAATTGTTTGTCAGTTATAAGAAGACCTAATATAAAAACATTCATTAAAAAAGATTCCTGGGAAAATATTGTTATTTGCATGCTTCCAGAGCTGAGACTCCCAGATGAACAATCTTCTGTTTTCTGTTAAAAATATCTTTTCAAATATTTTTAAGATAGGGCTTCCCATTGGTATTTTATTAAATATTAAGTATATACTATTATCCTGATGTCAAATGGGCTTATTTTTATAATAGAAATTGAAGATCTTAATTCAACTTGATCAAGCAATGTACCGAGCTAATTTTTCTTTTTTCCAAGGACTGGGGATGGGTTTTTGCCAGGTAGGTAAGACTTCTAATGTTCTTGTGATTAATTACGTTTATTTGTGGAATACTAAGTTAGGATTAGAATGAGAATCTGTATTTTATTACTGTCATTGACGACCATGAAGTTGACTCACTGGTGCAGTAAACAGAAAATGGTTTTATTGATGTCTTACATAATGCTTTAACCAAACAACTGAACCTAGTGAGACATCTAATTTGGGGTTCCCTGGCACGTGTGGATTGGAGTAAGACCCCTAGAGGCTGTCAGACCCCAAATATAACATGATGAGTTCCTTGACCATGTTTGGATGTCTATTCACATTAACTTATCTATCTTGAGCTGCAAATATTTGTGATTTCTTTTGTCTTATTTTACCGTAAGTATTTAAATTATAGTAATTTGGTTGCATTCAAATACAAATGATTATATAGCAACTATTGGCAGTTATTCCATGAAAATAAAATTGTGCCATAAGGCGATCGCATTTCCAGGATTAAGCCGTTCTCTTTCTATGTTTTCCTCCAAATAGTTAACACAAATTATGCGAACTGGACAAAACACTTGGGAAAGTAAAAATATCCTTGCTGTTTCATTTGCTCCACTCGTGCAGCCAAGTAAGAATGATAATGGCAAGCCAGATTCTGTAGGACTCCGTAAGTAACTGCTGGTCCTTCCCGACTATTGTGCAGCTCTTATGCTTGGGGTTTAATGGACTATATAATTATGAAAAATTAAAGAAATAGCTATATATTTACAGATTTATTCAGCTTTTTTGTGGGAGTGGGTTAAAGTCCCTACCTTGCACCAGACACTTAGCTGCCTTCATGGACATATGAAAAGAAGGCACAGACCAAAGAAATCATGAATTTATTAATTATAGTGGTGACTTTATTGATTATTATTGAATTTGTTGTCATTTTCTTTTTTTTTTTTTTTAATTTTTTTATTGTTTGGTTTAAACATTCTGAGAGAGGGAGAGAGACAGCGTGAGCAGGGGAGGGTCAGAGAGAGAGGGAGATACAGAATCCGAAACAGGCTCCAGGCTCTGAGCTGTCAGCACAGAGCCCAACACAGGGCTCAGACCCACAAACTGTGAGATCATGACCTGAGGTGAAGTCGGACACTTAACCGACTGAGCCACCCAGGCGCCCCTGTTGTCGTTTTCTACACAGAAGGACGACAAACACAAAAGCCTTTATTTGAGCTAAAAGAGCTTGCTTGTTCCAAGAGCAGAAATAAGTTTCAGGGTAGTTGAAGCTCATTGGCTAGAGTGTAGAAGATAGATTTAACAAGACTTGTCTTAGACTCAAAGGGAAAGTCCGTACTGGATGTGGATAGACTTGTTTGAAGGTAGAAAAACAGTAACTAGAAGGCAGTGGTAGAGAAAAAAAGGAGGGTGTGAAGTTTGGCCTTGAGCAGCTAGCTGGGTGGTGGTACCATTTTATTGCCATTCGCAAGACCGGCAATGGAATAACTTTTAAGTAGGTGTAGGAAGAGGAGACATTTTATTCTGGCCACATCCGAGTTTCCTGTCGGTGTGCACATGTCAGGTAGTCCAGTTATAAACCTGTTGCAGGAGGAAGGTATAAATTGAGAATCCTCAACGGGAAAATGCCATTTTAAGCTATGAGAATGGATGAGAGCACTTGGGGGAGAGTGAGGAGAGAGAAGAGGTGTTTGTGCTGGCAACCAAGAAGAAAACAGTATTTCAAGAAGGAGGAAGTGATCAACTTACTGCAGTTCAAAGAAGAAAAAGAAATAAGAGTAGTATTAATTGGCTTGTGATAGATCACGATTTTGGAAGTCGGTAAGTAAAGTTCTTTACCTAAAATGAACTTTACCGTGGTAGACTTCTTGCTTTAACTTGCTTTTTAAATGAATTAATTTCAAAAGAACCTGGCTTTATATTTAGTTTTATTTTCATCATTTATTTTACCCTCTTTTCAGCCATGTGATTTTTGTGGCCTGTTTTTCCGTCTTCGAAGTTCTTACCAATGGAGAGATGGATTTGGTGGTCAGATAGCTAGGAAGTGAGCTGTCAGTTTTATCACCTACTAAAGGAGTTGGGGGATATGACTGGGATCTGCATCCTAAATTAGGGCCGTGCGGCTGCAGGCAGCCTGGCCAGCCTCCCTCCCATCAGGGGAGCAGAGCTTCATGTGTGTGAGTGAAGGAAGAGAGAAGTGAAAGGCCCCACGTGCACACAAACCATACAGAGCAGTCCTCCTGCCGTGGGGAGGGGGGTGTGTGGTGGTGCAGAGAGCCCCAGGAGGTCCTGGGGTCAGGGGCGGTGAGTGGCAGGAAGGGCTCTTCCCTCGACCCCAGAAAGGGCTCCCCAGCATTCCTCCATAGCAGGAGCTGCCGTCTGAGAGGCCTGGTGACCACTCTTCAGATTCATGAGATCCATCAGCTCTGACGCCGTGCTCTTACTTCAGTCTCAGTTAGAAATCAGGCACTCTGATTTCAAACTCCGTTTTGAACTTTTTACAATTCAGAAACTGTTAATCAGCCATTTTTTCCAGACATACTTGATGCTGTTGTATGTTACTTACAAAAATGAGTCGATCTACAAAACAAAGCCACATAAAACCATTACATCAGGAAACTTGCATATATAGAGAATTAAAAATAAGAATGATTAAAAAAAGGATTATCAAAAAGGCTCATCCTATTAGTAAAGTTACTCTGCTTGAATGTTAAATTTATATGTCCCTCCTGTTTATTCAGAGACACGTGCTAGATGTGCTCTGGGACTGAAAGGGACTTCTTCACCTATCACCAGAACCAAGTAACTGTCACTTGTATTCACGTGCATGATATGGTTATTTCACAGTATCCTTTTTGGTAGACTGCACACACACACACACACACACACACACACACACACACACCCTTGTATACAGAGGTGTATGTATATACCATAATATATAGGAGACTGTACCGGTGTAGTATGTACTATAATTCATAGTAGACTCTACTGTATAGTACATATATGACATGTATATGTATATACCATATAGCACATACTATAATATATAGTAGACTATACTGTATGGTACCTACTATAATATGGACTATACCATACTAAGGTCACTTGACTATTTCAACTCCTTGCTAAAAGCAGTAATAACAAAGTAAAACTATTTTTTTCCTCCTGTTTCCCAAGTATTAGAATTACAGGTCATATTTATGATCGTTTTCTTTAACCTATCATAACAGGTTAGAGAGTCACAAAAAAGAAGTAATGAAAAAAATTCTGTGACACAGTTTGGTTTTGACAGTGGCCTAGCCACAAGTACAACATATATCTATGAAGATACATGTGTCCTTATAGAGGTCCCTGTGGACTTCTGTGCATCAGCCATTTAGGTGTTTTACTTTCTCATGGAGACTTGTCGCCTGAGACATTTCCTCTTTATCTGACAGTTTCCCAGATTAGTGTCCTTCAGAGGAGTCCAGGTTGTAAATGTGGTTTTGCAGTAACATACTTACGAATGGCATGGATGATGATATGTTATAAATGGGCAATTTTCATTCGTCTCCATTTTAAGGATGTCGATACAGTTTAGACCTAGGTAATTAATGAGACTGTCATTGGTTGGGTTGATGGACATAACTGAAGGTCAAGCAGGAGGAGAAATTTGGTTGAAAGGGATAAAATGGGGGAAGAGCCTAAATTTAAAAAAAGATCCATCATAACCTCTGAAATACTTACAGGAGAAATGATGTATCCAAATTTGTCACCAGAATAGTGTGTGGTGGGTTTGGGAGGAGGAAATGGGAGCATTGGTGTGGTAGGATTGGCTATAGTGTGAGAGTCGAAGCTGAGTGTCCAGTGCATGGGGTTCGTTATACTGTTCACTCTCTTGTGTACATACTTGAAAGTCTCTACAATAAAAAGAAAAAAAAAATCAATAGCATAAACATGAGCCAGGAATTACGATTTTGTAAAAAAAAAAAAAAAAAAAAAAAATGCTTCACTATGAGTAATGTTTATAGAATGAAAAAAGTTCTGAAGATGTTATTTGTCAGAAGTTAATAGAATGTTTGGAATAACAAGTTTCCTCTTCTGTGAAAATTGCTGTTTAGGGAACATTATTTCATTAATTATAGGGGATTAAAGGATGAAAGGCTCTTAGCAAAAAGAACTGAAAAAATACACATGCAAATCTTGGGCCAAATGCATTTTGTAGCTACGAAATTGCCTACATAAACAGTTACTAAAATGTAGTTAGGACTTTTCCTCTGGTTTATCACTACTTTTGATTCAACCCAAGTCTTTCTTTGTTTGGGGGTGGTATACAACATTCTAGAAGAGCTGCCTCACATTGAGGGCGGGCCCTCTAGAAGGAGTAAGAGGAAAAAGGAGAAAACTCTATACCAACTTAAGGAAAGCGGTTTCCTCTCTACACCACCCACTAAATACTTCTGTATCCCAGATATGTGGATTTGTCCACACCAAGCAATTCTCCAATTCTTTGCGGACACCAGCTAGGTGTCCTGCGATCTGACCCCCTTCTGACACTAACCACTGTTAGCATAGACTCTGAAGGTGAAAGGGCCTCTACCCCACAAGGCTGCCTCCTCCTCCTCCACCTCGAGACCCCAGTCACAGGTACAGGTTTTCACCTGTGCTTCCGTCAGCCCGGCTATAAATCAGAAACCCCCATAACCGCTTTCTGGAATTTGTTGGAGTGTCTTACAGAACCCAGAAAACAGTTCACTTACGAGATTACCGGTTTTATCATAAAAGGCCCCAGCCTGGAACGGCTGGCTGAGTGGATGCATAGGGGGTTGGGGGCGAGGACACACGGAGCTCCCGTGCCCCCTCCGAGTGCCCTCGGGCACCTCCACTTGTATTCAGCCCAGAAGCTCCCTGAACCCTTTCAGTTCAGGCTTTTTATGGAGGTTTGATTGATTCAGTCCTTGGCTGTTTATGATTGACTAAGCCTCCGGCCCCTCCTGCCCTCCCAGAGAGCGCCGACTGAAGGTTCCAGTCCTCTGGCAAGCAGCCCAGCCCAGCTCGCTCCGGGGCTTCCCAAAGGTGCCTTTTTAGCATAAACTTAGGTGTGCTTGAAAGGAACCTGTTCTGCTCTTCTCACTGAGGAAGCTCTTACAGCTCTTCGGAGCTGTGTCAGGAATGGAAAGCCAAATGTAGATTTCTCGTTAAAAGTCTCTAGGGACAAGAGAGTTCATAAATTGTGGCACTAACCACAGTGAGCATACGAAGCTGCTGTTTTTGTAGGTTAAAAGGTGGCCCCAAATCCGTGCTTTTGTGATTTTGACCTAAATATAATGCCCTTTTCAGTCTTTGCTAATAAAAACAAAAATGCTGACTGCTAGGTTCCCATGAAATCTTGGCAGAGACTACCTTTTTGGGAAACGAATAGAGCTTACGTGTGTGTGCTAGAGATAACCTTAATTATAATTTTGGAGTGAAAGCTTGGATTCAAAATAAAATGTTAATGGCAGTCAGCCATTTAGTTAGTATTGTGTAGTCCATTAAATCCTTATATCTAGAGTCAAAGAATAGAAGATATGGGAGGTTTTTGAATAGCTAGGGCCGAGAATTATCTAAAAGTTTTTGTACCACTTAGACAAACGAAGCTCATGGGGATGCTATTTTAGGACTTAAGTCGCAGTCTTTTCCCCTTCTGGGTCTCGTTGGTTCTTTATGAAGTTCAGGTGTTCCGGTTAGGTTAGGACTGAAAGGTTCCTCATTCTGGCAGCATCCTTGGAGGAGCGTAATTAAGGTGTTAACAGAGAATACCGAAAATGTGAGAGCGGTGGCAGAACAAAGACCAGCCGAAAAGACTAATTATAGCTCTGTTTCTTAGCTCTTTTAATAAAATTCCCAGAACTCTTCTATAGATTTATTCTCCACCAGCCCCCCCACCCTGCTTTTTCAGAGCTCACTCGGGCGTAGGCTTCTTCTCTGGCCACACTCCCCCTTGGGTGCTCGCGAGGGGCCGATGGCTCCTGGATCTCTGTCCCCAGCCCTGGCTGTGCCCCTGAGCCCCAGCCTCATGATTGAGCTGCCTGTGGTTGGGCAGGAGCGTAGGCTGTGCAGTCAAAACCGCCCACACCAGGTCCCACGTCATGTCACTTGTGACCTCTGTGACTGGGATCACGTTATTTCACTTCTGTCTACTTCCTTTTCCTCACTTAGCTCGGGATGTGCTCTTGCATGTAATGTGCTGAGATGGTAACCAGTATGTCCCTGTTGTTTTTCTTTCTGAAATCTCCATTCAGGAAGTGTTCACAGACATCCCCGATTTAACACAGAACAGCATTTGGGTTTTCTTCTCTCCAGCTATTCTTCCTCTTTCTCATGTCAGTAATTAGCATCTATCAATTTCAGTCTGTCTGGACTGAAAATTCTCACACATCCAGTGCCTGTCCAACCTGCCTTCAACATGTGTTTCAAATTTGTCCACTTCTCTACATCATTACTGCCATCCTCCCATACTCTAATCTGCATCCGAGTGTGGTCAGATCTCAGGTGGATTACTGGACTATTCCCGCTGCTCTCCTGCTCCCTCTCATTCCGATCCATATTCCACACAGGAACCCAAGTGCCATTTTCATTGCATCATGACCCCGCCTTTGTAAAACCCGTGAGGAGCTACACGGCCGGTACAAGGCACATTTTTTACCAGGGCCTACAAGATCCCCCCGATCCCATCCCTTACTGTTTCCTTCCTGCTCGCAACTTCATCTACACTAGCCTTCTTTCAGCTCCTTGAACGTGCTGTTCTCTCTGCATGAAGCTATTTACAAATGGCTGTTTCTTCATATTATTCTTCATATTTCGCTCAGGCATGCCTATCCTGAGAGAGACCATTTGGGGACTGCCTGTCGGAAGTAGCCAATACCCCACGTTACTCTGTATGCCATTGGTGTTGCTTCTCTTGCCTTCTTTTTTTTTTCATGATTATTTTTTTATCTGTCCCTCCCCCAAATAAAAGAACTCCATAAGAGCAGGGACTTTCATAGCCTAAATCATTCACTGTGTCTAAATGAGCTCTTTAATAGTACCTGGCGTACAGTCTCACACGCAGCTGTTGAGTGAACAGGCAGCAGCGTCACAGTTTGGGGAGGCAGGCAGAACAGGTGATAGCTTGCAGGTTGTACCACGTAAGGGGTGGGATTTCACCCCTGTTTGTACTTACTAGCGTTCACAAAATGCACCGTTGGCAGAAGCAGGACTTGAACTCAAATCGTCATATGTTGTTTCAGTTTCCATCTCAGATAGTTGTGGGCAGGCCCAGATAGTAGGCCACAGAGTTTTTAGTTGAACGTGCCCAGCATGGCTCTTTGGAATTCTTTTCTATTTTAGGTTTCGGGAGGGAGTTGACAAAGGTTTGAAGAAAAAGGGTTTGCGGTGGGTGTGCCAATAGGTCGTGGATTCAGCTGGTAAAGACCCTCCTATCGGGTTTTACAGTAAACCCCACCTCCCACTGCAGCGTGTGTCCAGTTTGGGAGAGGGTCTGGTGAAGGAGGCTCGGAGCCTTGGACAGGAAGTTCCGTGCAAGCCTGGCACCAGCAGGGCCCGGGCCAGAGTGCCAGGAAGATGGCCTTGGCCCCTCGTGCCAGGCGCTCACAGTCTGAAGGCAGAGGGAGACCGCATGCCGAAGAGTTCCTGAAGAAGGCAGGATTTCGTAGGTTATAACAAAAAAGTTTGCAAGGGAAGTATCCAGGAAAAGAGTACCCCAAGTAAAGAAAGAAAACATAAGTGAAGATTTTTCAGTGCTGTTTCACTGAGGAGGGTTGGTTTTATTCTTTGTTGAGGCATTTGAGAAGGATCTTTGATGGTAGTTTTGTTTCCACAGGGATGGAAACTAGGAGTGATGCGTTTCAAGTGGGACGAGGGAATTAATTTCTCTATGTATAAAGCATTGAGCAGGCTACAAAGAAGAGTACGTGTTCTAGGGCTTATGCGCTTACAGATCTGTGGGAGGTGGGAGCCAGCACCACGTCTGTGTTTGGCAGAGGTAAACGTCAGTAACTAGAGGAAACCTACTAACAGGCTTTGGCCTATTAGGTTGTTTACAGCTTGATTTCCGGTGGGCCTTTGCCTAAGTAAGCTGTACTTACTGGTTTACAGAGGAAAGCTCGGTGTTTGTGTGTGTGTGTGTACCCGCGCGTGTGCGTGCGCGCGTGCACATGTGTGTGTACGTGCACGAGTACTAGCTTTAAAACTCGGACTGAGGCAGTTGTTCAAATGTTGCTTTTATTTGAGTTTTTGGAATAGATCGTCCTCTTGGATAGGTTTCAACATCAAATATATTAAAAAAATATGTCGTATAAGACCTCTCCTCTGTTCTCATTCCCTAACTTCTTCATTCTTAGGTAACCTGTCCCTAAGTTCTTACTTATTCTTTCAAAGAATTTTCACGGATATACTTGGGGACACACATACACACATATCCATAGGACTTAGAATGGGGGCTTGGCGCAGAGAAATCTTTGTTAGGTAAATAGAGTTTTTATATGTTGTGTTCTCTAATGTTTGCTAAGAAATATTTTGTTCTGTGAAGGAATGGAAGGTATATGTTTTAACTTTTTTATGTTTTGTGTGTGTGTGTGTGTTTGTTTTTTTAGCTCCCTGTGCTGTCAGGAACCTCCAAGACTTGGCTCGTATTTACATCCGACGTACACTTAGGAATTTCATAAACGATGAGATGCAGGCCAAGGGAATTCCTCAGAGAGCTCCACCCAAAAGGAAAAGAAAGAGGGTTAAACAGAGAATCAATACTTACGTATTTGTGGGTAACCAGCTTATTCCTCAGCCTCTAGACAGTGAGGAAGATGACAAAATGGAAGAAGATAATAAAGAAGAGGAAGAGAAAGATCACAGTGAAGTCGTGAAGCCAGAGGAGCCACCTCAGAATTTACTGAGAGAAAAAATCATGAAACTCCCTCTCCCTGAATCTTTAAAGGCTTACTTGACATATTTTAGAGAAAAATAACTTAGATCACGAAGAAAGAATGCCTACTGATAATTCCTTTAGTCTTGAAAATGTAGCATTTGTTAGGAGTTAAACGAGAGCGAATTCTCTCAACAGAGCGAATTATAGTGGAAAAAGAATAACTTGTTTCTGTCTTAGTAATAAAAATGATGTATTCAGTAATTAAATCCCTTTTTATAAAATATATTTTTCTTTAAATCTTGGAAAAAATGCTGTTTTAACTCAGAGTGACTTCAAGAATGAAATGCAACAATACTCGAGATTTGGGTACTGTAAATCCTTTTCTGATTCCTTACGGATTTGTAGTGGTAAAGCTCACGTTTCATTTTATAGAAGGTTACATAACTGTTCAGCATATACTGGTTTTTGAACAGCAGTTGTTTTCATTTCCTCTATGAAAACATTGTGATCTGATTTAGGAAATCAGACGCTGTGTAGACCCACTTACCTTACTTTCGTTGCAGTCACTATTGCTGAGTTGCTATAGTATTCCGGGCAATCTATGAGTGCAATAACAATACAGATATTGAATAATTTAGCTTTAAAAAAAAAAAGTTTCGTGGAACTCAGTAGCATTGCTACTTTTGCTTTTGAACCTATTGCCAAAAGACATGGGAAAATACCTGCTTCTCTCCTAGAGATTTTAAGAGCACATCAAGTGAATGTTAAATAAAAAGTATATACTTCATACAGTTCTTAATTTGTATGGACCCTTTGCATTTTCAGTATTTAAAAATAATGAGGTTATCTTACTCTCCGGAGTTTTAGAAGATAGTATGTTTGGGATTGGGTTTTCTCTTATCCACTGTATAAAGTATTTGGTTTTAAAAAGATCCGCTGTTCTGTACGACAGTCGGTAACACAGGTAGGGAGTCAGCATGAGTGCGACCCCTTTCTTGGGATGCGCTCAGAGGCAGGAGCACTTTAGCAAATGGAACTTCTGGTTCATTTGAATCTTTGTCTTTTACAAGGTAGGACTGGGCTAGCCTCCAGAAGAAGTTCATCTTTGTAGTGTATGAGATGTTCACGGGATTTGTATGTTGATGCCTCTTGCTTTGAAAATCCAGTTCAGAATCATAGTGTAATCTTTGGGACCTACGTTGTGCTCATTTAACTTTCTCATGGTGTGTGGGGTGGTTTTTTTTTTTTTTGGTAAAATTATAATTATCACTTTTTTCTTAATATCACACACTTAAACTATCCATCATTTGAATATTAATTATAGCTTTCAGTGGTACAACAGTAAATGCCATTTTTGATTTGTTCCTTTTCTTCCCACAAGGGCCTGAAAACAGCCATTCCTTGTTAAGAAAGTACAGAATGTAACAGACTTTCTACTTCATGTTGCATGGGATTATGTATTTTTTAAAAGGAAAATTTTGAGAGCTATCGCTTATTACCACCAGCATCCCTATTGCAGTAGTGTATCAAATATGTGTAATGAAACCCAACTGATACATAGTAAAAGGATGATTATTATCTCTCTTCAAAGATTCAACTATTAGTAATCCATAGTTTAAAAAAAATCTCAGCTCTGGCAATTCTACACATTTAAAAATGAGCATTTGAAATATTCTGAGTATGAATTATCTCGAGTAAATGAGGGTATTTTAGTAATGGGGAAGATAATTTCATGGAAGGTATTGGTTTTATACCAGGGGCTAGGGCCAGGTGATCAGGGTTGGGGGTTGGGTGTTATCTCCACAATTTTTTTTTTCAGATGATTACTAAGCCATTTACTGTTAAGAAATGTCCCGTCTCATTTCTATCAAGGAAAAAGTTTTATACAATTATTATCTGTTAGGAATGTTCACTTTATTTTAAATTAAATGTTAGCTTTAGAGGTTTAGTACTGAGTTCCTGGTGCCCACCCACATCTTTTTATCCAGCACCTCCCCCTCCCCCCCAGCCATGCCCTGTACACACTGTTGGTTTTGGAGCTGGTGTCCAGATACGTACACATACATGTTCTTAAATGACACTTTTACGATTCAGAAGAGAGTTTTCGTTAAGGTTATATTTGAAGGTTGACTTGCTCATGTGATCTTTTATTCTGTGGACCTTGGCAAAGTGTACAGCAGATTTTCATGGTCGTTACATATTTTTGTCATTGAAATGTATCTTTTGTGTTTTTAAATGCATTCATTCATTTTACAGTTGTGACTTTATTATTGACTTTAAATAAAGAAGTAGAAATAAAAAATGAAAATTCAAGTGAAAGCCCTTTGATCTGTTAATGTGAATATATTAGGCTGATTAAGAGTATTTTGGGTTTGTGTTTATTTTTTAATGAATTCATGGTTACTTGAGTATGAATAATTATGTTCTTTGGGTGGAAGAAGTAGCAAATAAAGGTAAAATTAATTGAAAATGATTAATATATTCATGGGATTTTAACAGCCAGATAAAACAGTGTATATAACCTAGTCTTTTATTTTGTAGAGAGAAAGGAGGGCTAGGGAGATAGCATGATTCTCCCATGGCAGACAGCTAGATGGAGATGACTTGAAGTAGCATCGAGCATCTGATAAATCTCAAGAAACCGTCACTAGATGCTGCAGGATAGTGGGACGGTGCGAGACTTCCTGCTTCTTTAAATGTTCCAGCTCTTCCTTGACCTCTCCTGCACTTGACGGCCATTTGTGCCTCTTTATCGTGTGAAGTGTTACAGAGGCTTTGTTACCCATTACTGAAGTTTTGAACCTTTCAGAGTGTTTCTTGGTTTTAGGTTTCCTTTCTGTAAAGCTTGTCTTCAAGTCTTTTGGAAATGTTTTATTGGGTAGTTTCTTTTAACGAAATTGGCTTAACCCATCATCAGTTACATGTATTGCAAATATCTTTCGTTAGTTTGTGGTTTCTGTTCTCACTCTGTTTGTGGTGCCTTTAGTGAAGTAGCATTTTCAATTTAAAAAGTTTCTAAATTTTTTTTAATGTGTTGAGAGAAAGAGAGAGCGAGTGTGTGCGCGCACACATGAGTAAGTGAGGGACAGAGAGAAGGAGAAACAATCCCCAGCAGGCTCTGCACCATCAGCACAGAGCCCAGAACCCAATGCAGGCCTTGAACTCATGACCCCTGAGGTCATGACCTGAGCTGAGATCAAGAGTCTGACGCTTAACTGACTGCACCACCCAGGCTCCCTGCCCCCAGTTTTTTATTTTTATTTTTATTTTTATTTTTTGAGAACAACTATGAGTAAGGGAGGGCAGAGGGTGAGGGACAGAGAATCTTAGGCAGCCTCCCTGACCACAGTGGAGCTGGATGTGAGGCTCAGTCTCATGACCATGAGATCAAAACCTGAATCGAAATCAAAAAAGTGGATGCTCAACCAACAGCCACCAGCCACCCTTGTGCCCCAGCATTTTCAGTTTTAATCCTGTGAGATTCATCTTTGCACAGCCGCAGTCCAGGATCATGACAATATTAGCCTGTATTTTCTCACAAAAGTTCTATGACTTTTGTCTTTTGCATTCTAGTCTATAGTACATCTGCTACTGATCTTTGCATAAAGTGAGAAATAGTAAGTCATTTCTTTTTTTTAACACTGTTGGTCAACTGTTTCAACACCATTTTTGGAAAAGCCCCACTTTCCTCCTCTGAGCTGCAGTGTTAACTATCATAAATTAAGTTTTCATGTTTGTGTCCAAGTTTTCTGTTTTATTAGTCATTTATGGATTCCTGTGCTAAAACTACACACTCTTATTTACTACAGATTTACAGTAATTCTTGATCTAGTCAGATAAGTCCTTTCAACTTAAATTTCAGGAATATTGTGGCTAATCTTGCACCTTTTGACTTCGATAAGCATTTTAGAGCCAACCTCTCAGATTACATGCACACAGTCCTTTTCGGATTTCCTTTGGATTCACACTGGATTTATAGATCAATCTGTGTGAGAGGTAACATGTTTATGATAGGGAGTCTTCCAGTCCGTAAATATGGTGGTACTTTTATTTAGATCTTAAAGTGTCTTAGTAAAGGTACACAGTTTCATTTCAGACATCTTTAGATTTTATGTGTAGATGTCATTTTTTTTTTTAATATTTTATTTATTTCGAGGAGAGAGAGAGAGACAGCGTGAGGAGGGGAGGGTCAGAGAGAGAGGGAGTCACAGACTGAAACAGGCTCCAGGCTCTGAGCTGGCAGTCAGCACAGAGCCCGATGCGGTGCTCGAACCCACGAACCGCGAGATCATGACCTAAGCGAAAGTCGGACGCTTAACCGACTAAGCCACCCAGGCGCCCCTAGATGTCATATTTTTCAATACTGCCTTATTGTTTATTAAAATTATGTTTTGCTCCATATTGGTTTTCGTACATTACTTAAAACACACTGTCTTGTGATCTAAATTTTCTACACAGGTAACTAAATTATCTTCGTAAAGACAGTTTATTTTTTTCCTTTGGGTTTCCTTTGTTTATCTTGCCAGATATACTGGTTGGGGGTTCCACTACAGTGTTGAATAGAATCAGTGAGCAAGAGCAGCCTTATTATTTTATTGCCCATGTAAAGTCATTTTTAAATTTTTAATGTTTATTTTTGAGAGAGCGAGCAGGGGAGGGGCAGAGAGAGAGAGAGGGAGATATAGAATCCCCAGGCTCTGAGCTGTCAGCACAGAGCCCAGCACTGGGCTTGAACTCCCGAACCGTTGAGATCATGATCTGAGCCAAAGTTAGACGCTTAAGCGACTGGGCCACACAGGTGCCCCTAAAGTCATTTTTAATAAACGGCTTGGTGTCCTTAGAATATATATTCTGTTCGGTATAATGTCCTGTAAATGTCATTTGAATCAAATTTTGGACTGCATTCAAATCTAATATAGTCTGTATAAACATTTTTTTCTGTGCTTTTGTGGTTTCCAGTGAAATCTCTCACTGATGGTAGCATGTCAGTTCACTGTAGTCTTTTTCAGTTTTTGCTTTGTGCATTTTAATGTGATGTTATATCTGTTCTGCGATTTGAACCTTTAATGGTATGTGGGAACCCTTTTTATATTTTTATGTTCTTCAAAGTCCATTTGGTTTGATATTTGTATAGCATTTAAAATTTTTATTTTCAATCTACTCTATATCCTTATTTTTTGATATATTTATTATTATATAGCTGAATCTTAAGAAATTAGAGTTTGAATTTTACTTAAAGCAATTCATTTATTTACATTCATTTTAAATATTCACACAGAATATTTGTGCTATACACCATTTTCAATATTTTTGGTTTTTTTAAAGGATAATTGTTTTCTCCTCATTTTTGTCCATTCCTCTTTTTTTATGTGTGTTCCCTTCCCTCATTTAATATTTTAAAACACTCACTGAACTTATCAAAGTCTAAAGTTACCTAGTGCCCTATCTTTCTCAGGCAAGGCACATATGACACTTTAACACTGAAGTCATCACTTCATAATTATAGAGTAGCATATTGTGTGTGTTATTTCTATTTTTTAAAAAAATTTTTCTTATAGTTTATTTTTGAGACAGGGAGAGACAGAGCATGACTGGGGGAGGTGCAGAGAGAGAGAGAGAGAGAGGGAACACAGAATCTGAAACAGGCTCCAGGCTCTGAGCTGTCAGCACAGAGCCTGACGTGGGGCTCGAACCCATGAACAGTTAAGATCATGACCTGAGTCGAAGTTGGGTGCCTAACCGAGCCACCCAGGTGCCCCTTGTTATTTCTAGATATGTAAGCCCCTATAGTACACCATTAGCTCTACTCCCACATTTGCACTGTTTTGTTTTCTGCTCATTATGCCTTCTTTAGTTTTAGATAATTGCAATTTCCTTTTGCCTACAGTACACCTTTAAAAAATTTTATTTTTTTAAATTTTAGAGTGCAAGCAGGGGAGAGGGACAGAGGGAGAGAGAGAATCTCAAGCAGGGTCGACACTCAGCCCAGAGCCTGATGATGTAGGGCTCGATCCCCCAACCCTGAGATCATGACCTTAGCCAAAATTGAGTCAGACACTCAACTGACTGAGCCACCTAGGCACCCTCATTTTTTTAAAGTTTGTTTATTTTGAGAGTGGTGGGGTAAAGGGGCAGAGAAAGATAATCCCAACCAGACTCTGTGCTGTCAACGTGGAGCCCATCAGGGGAGATAACCGTGAGATCATGACCTGGGCCAAAATCAAGTGTTGTATACTTAACCAACGGAACCACCGAGGCACCCCAGGCACCCCCATCTTTTAAAATTTCTTTTAGTGAAAGACTGTAGGTAGCTAATTCTTAGTTGTTGGGTTTTTTGTGTGGGTTAGTCTGTTTCATCAGTTCTGGAAATTCTTGGCCATTTTGTTTTTCCTTATCAATATGATTCAACTTTTTGTCTCTTCAGCAGTGAATTTAAAATAATTTCTTCAAATTGATCTTCTACTCACTAATTCTCTCTTTTCATTGCCTTAAATCTGCTGTTAAACCCTGGTGTTGGATTTTAATGTCTGTTAATTTTTTTTTCTTTTTCAAACCTGTTTGGTTGTTTTTACAGTTTTCTGCTCTTTATAAATTTCTATTTATACATTCATTTCTCTAAGCCTACAGAACCCAATTTTATATTCCATATCTACTTGACATCTTAAGAGGTAGGCTTCTGTGCATGATGTTTGTTTGTTTTCTAAATGTTTATTTTTGAGAGAGAGCACACACACAAGTTGGGGAGGAGCAGAAAGAGGGAGACAAAGGATCCAAAGCAGGCTCCAAGCTGACAGCAGAGAGCCTGATGGGGGTGGGGGGGTCAAACTCAGGAACCCTTAGATCATGACCTGAGCTTAAGTCAGACGCTTAACTGAGTGAACCACCCAGGTGCCCCTCTGTGCCCCTCTGCACGATGTTTCTAAGGCCTAGCTTTTATAACTTTGTTTTGCATTTTATGAATTTTTAAAATATTTTTTTGTTTATTTTTGAGACAGAGACAGAGCACGAGTGGAGGAGGGGCAGAGAGAGAGAGAGAGACCCAGAATCTGAAACAGGCTCCAGGCTCTGAGCTGTCAGCACAGAACCTGATGTGGGGCTTGAACCCACAAACCGTGTGATCATGACCTGAGCCAAAGTCAACGCTTAACCAACTGAGCCACCCAGGTGCCCCTATTTTGTGGATTTTGACTAAGCTGGAATTACTGCTAGTTCTTTTTACATCCTGTTTAAGGTTTTCAGGTCGAAAATTCATGTAAAAGCTAATTTGGGGATATTATATCTCCAGGGAGATGTTTTTACTCCCTCCCCATAGCAAGTGT